TACTTCAACGTTAAAATTGGAATATTATACCTTTGAATGTTTTTTGGTTTATGGTATAATCACTATAACGTACATAGAATATCATCCAATCATTGATAACTCGTTGAAAATTTTGAGTTTTTTCAATATTGAAATTAGTGAAGGTTTTGCAAACACTTAATACAAATTAACAAATTTAAAATTTTGAAAATTCAATGAATAGTTTAAAAATTATAAAAATAAATATTTTTATTAATTTATAATAAATCATAATATGTAAAAAATACTTTGTTAAATATTTCATAAAGATAGATGAAAAACTTCTTAATACTCTACTATTTATTTATAATACAGTTTCACCAATATAAAAATAATCTCAAAAATATCTCTCATTCTTGATACCCTTTACTCCATTTAATATGTTTAAACTTTATGCTTTGTGCATTTATAAAAATGAAAAAAAAAGACTTTTTTTTAAATTACTGGTTGGTAACTGGGTTCACTATCATTATGTTACTCATTTATTATAAATGAAAATTAATTTCTGATATTAAATGAAGTATTCTAATTAACATAATACAAGATCTTTATAAGTACGAAATATTGTATAATTATTATAATTTTAGTTTATAAAATCAGTTCAATTGTACATTTGTTTTATATTTTAAGTTAATTTTGTAGTAACAAAACACTTTTTTATCAATAAGATTTTCTTTTAAGTTAAACAAAAAAATAAAAAATGAATACATTTTTTTTTTAAATAACAGTACTTAGTTTCTGAATGAATTTTTTTTTCACTTAAAATAATTTTAATTGGTAGTAAAACATAAAAATAAATAATTGCATTAAACAGTCAGTTACCTTTTCTAATAGGTATTTATTATTTTTCATTAATATTTTTTTTTTCTTTACGGTCGGTACTGTGATAAAAATTTTTAACTTTAACTCATGGCGTATTAAATATAACTTTTATGATTTATCATCATAAAATCAATTATTTATTTATTTACTTGGAGATTTCATTCAATATTTTTAAAGTAATGTTTAATATTTTAATTACATGGAATATACATGGTTGTATTTATTAAATAGTGAATACATTTGATCGTTAATACTATCTTTTGACTTTTAAAATTGTATAAAGTTTTCTTCTGAACGTAATATAATAATATACTAAATGTTGATAGGAAAAAAAAGATACGATTTAAGATTTTGAAGCAGGTTTTTTCTATATATTATTAATTATTATAAGACCTATAATAGTTATTGCCTCAAAAGAAGTAAGAAATCTTTATAAATGTATACTTATATATATATATATATACATTGATGGTTACGTAGCAAACACTCGGAAGTCGTTCTTTTGAAAATTTTATACGAGAATTACAGTATTACTAAAACATAATACTATCTGTGTAATCACTAATGTAAGTTCAATTTAATTGATTTGACTTTTAATTTAAAGTATATGATATTATTTATATTTATATATCCATTGTTATTATGAATAACACGTTATTATATACATTATACATATATTCACTAATTAAAACATAACATACTGTATTTGTAGATCATTATTTTTAACACGATTCAAAGTCTTTGGAGTTAGGCCAAAATAAAATATATTTACTGTAATAATTGTATCATGCAACGAAAAATACGAATCAACTAATTAATTTATTAATTTTAAAATGAATACTTTTTTAATTTATACAACATATTTGATTTTTAATCATTGGTCGGTAATAAAAACAATTATACGTGGGATTTTCTCGTGAGTGGGCACTTGTAAGTCTAATAGGTCATATATAAGTGGCCGGCGTTTTAATTATTTAACTACTTTTCGTGTATAATCGTGAGAAAACATGAAAATCGTATAATTGAAAACAACTCGGAAAAATAATATTGTCATTGATATCCTAATGAACGCGTTCCGGGGTCAAATGTACAATTGCGAATGGACCGCATGTTATTGATGCACTTTGCCAATGATTATATTGCATTATATTAATTTATAATATACCTAATCAATAATCTATAATGGTAATATTATTAATTTTTATTAAGTATTAGTAAATGCCAGCTATAAATATATTATTATTATGTTTATATATATATTTATAAACGATACTAGCTATCGTTATATTATCATTTACCTACATGTACATTACGAAAGGCGATGTTTTCTTTTTCTATTCGGTTCGTTTGAGATCGAATAAGGTAAATGTTTATTATGTTGAAATAATATATTATACTGCGCATATTACCAGTGATTTTTTTAAATGCTTTTTAAGTTGGAAAAGAACCGGATATGCCTTTTTTTCTTTTCATATGTTTCCTACATGGTGTGTAATTTTTTTTCTATTTCAACGGTCGACATCAGAAGGCTTTTTCAGTATTGAAGTGAAATTTTGTTCGAATTTCCTGTGTAAGAATATACGTATTCTTAACGTTATATTGTTGTTACGCTGTCAAAATAATTTTGTTTGAAAAAATGTTTAATACTCTGTTCGTTATGAGTGCGGTTTGTTTATATGTTTGTAGGGTGCGGTCTTTTATGTCCGATATACCCCTCCTTGAAAAATACCCTTCAACTATTATGCTCTTATAATAAATTAATCTATAAACCGGAAAATGTAATATTAACATGCAGCTCTTGTTTAAAAATCGCTTGACTTAATAATCATGTGTTTAAAAACTCACTTTACGTTAAAGTGCCATCATTTATGACTGAAATAGCCAAATGTACGTGGGATTAATAAATAATGTGTCACGTGCTAGACAGCTTTGAAGTTTTAAGTGTTTACGTGCCTACAATTTATATTGGATTTTTTTTCGATGTTTGAATATTTACGTAATGGTGTGTAACGTGTATACTTATTATTTAATTGTAATGTATTTTAATAGTTGCGTATATAATGTAATATTAAAGAATAATCTATGCACTAGAGGCTGATATTGCATTTTAAATTATTTTATTTTAGCCTTTATCCGAGTGTGTCATATTATATCCATTTCAAAGAGCAAAACATAGGCTATTAGTTTCAGGCGACGGTCGAGTTTTATAATTGTATATTTTATATACCATATTTTTCAATATACGTAGCAACATTTTTTTCAAATTATACATAACTAATATATATTATTTTGAACGTCTGATTGATCCACGAGTGTTAAGTTGTATGTATACAAATTTATTGGAACCGTAAATAATGTTGCTATAATAATATTGTGTTATTTTTATGTATAATTTCGTATAAAATATTAAATTAGAGATGGGCGACTATTATAATACTTACGTATGTGATTTAGTTGTAATTTTTATATTTTTTCCAAGAATGCAGTGTCACAATAATAATTTATTTTTTGTGTGGTGCGTACATACAGGAGATAATTGAGAGTTAAAATATATAACATAAATTATGTGTATATTTTTATGTGAACTCTCCCTCCCCATCCCATTGGAAATATTCCTGTTTATGCTATTATCCAATGCTTTAGTGTACAATGTACTGCTGCTTATAGTGCAAATACAAAAATTGTATTACTTATGACGAATATTAAAGTGATAAGTTGGATAGCATTACTCAATGAAATAGCTATCTACCTAGTTAATGAATTTAAGAGATATTAGGAATTATTAAGGTATAGAATATAAATATATACACACTTGAATATATTAATTATTTATAAATTATATTTATATCGTTCGATTTACAATGTTTGAGTTTTAGATAAATCGTATAATTTATTCTTTGTTACCATAAGGTAACATAATTATTTGAATCATTTGATAAGATTGACGTGTTAACACTATTCGATTTGCCCTACACATAAGTCATAATATATATGTTATATAAATATAAACACTATTATATTTTCTAATATTTATTAAATGTACATGTGTGTACCTACTATAATGAGAATCAAAATAACACTGTACCTATATAATAATTAATAACATTAATAACTATTATTTAATCTATACCATGTTTAGTTCCAGTAAAATAATTAGAATTTTTCCATATTTCTTTGAACTACGATTAACTGTTGTACACCGTTAACAATATGCAAAAATTACATACATATACTTTATTCGTAAATTAACGATGTACCTACATTCAAATAATCGATTTTTAGTATCAATTTTCGGGAAGCTATAGTAGACTCGTTTTTGACCTTTATTTGGACTTGATTAGTAGATAAACCGTTGGTGTAGTTTTTTAACTTTTTATTTTATTAGAATTACTTCGTATTATTACCAATTATAATATTACCAAACATATCCATGACGAAACTTATTTATCGATTCTTAGAATTCGACACTTACAATTTAACGACAAAAACAAAATTAGATAATGGGGCTGTCGAAAACAACACATTCGTGGTTATAACCTGCTCATCAATCCTTGGAATTTTCGTATTATCTATATAAGCTACAAAGAAGCCGAATGTATAACAACACCTGGTCAGTTTACTTTGTTGCTTACCTCATTTTTTCTACCGAGTAGTATTAGGCGAAACTCCGTACAAATACGAATTCCGATATACTATTAAATCAGAATTTTAGTTGAACATCCCAGTTTACAGGTCTTATCTTAATCGTTGAGTCGCGTCCCAACATCGCCCATTGTTTTCATATAATTCCAGATTCAAACTGTAAATTAGATATATTTTTGGGCAAAATTATTTCATTCTGTTTACAAATCTTATTAGTTAAATGAATACTATAAATTATGTTATTAACCTCAAAACAAGCTATTCTCTTCAAACTTATCCAAATTTTAAATCATCCAATGTTTCACAGATTTATTTTAGCATAGCGAAGAGTAGCTATACAATTTACTTATTGAATACAATCTAGGATATTAGACACTGATTCGAAGTCTACATCCTTTTTGTACCAAAAGCTCTTGTGTAATTTAATAATATCTACCTATAAACCATGTGCATGCCCAACAATTAGTTTATACGTCATCTCATACTATTTTTTTATTGAATATTTTGTGTTTTCGCAGGCCGCAATCCTACAGCACACGGCCGACTATATATACCAGTTGGAGCAGGAGAAAACGAGACTTTTGTCGCAAAACTGTCAGCTGAAGCGGCTGGTGAGCAAACAAGAGGGTGAGCTGTTGAGCACAGCTAGCGTGCACAAGAAACGCAAAATCGACGACTCCACTGGTAAGTACGCCATGGCGTCTTTGGGTGGAAGGGGGGGGGATCGCGGATAAGCAATCGTGACGGGTGGTTTCGGCCGGTTGTGAAGCGTTTGAGGAGAGAGGGTCAATGACGCGCGGCAAGGTAGCAGCACCTGCCGGTTATTACGTTTATATTTTTTTTATTCTTTTTTCTACCGCGCCATTTAAATTGCGTATAATATTATTGTCATATAGATGCTGTACTCACGCACTCACTATTACTACACTGTGTGTGTGTGTGTGGAAGTCTTGCAGGTCTCTATACGGGGAAAATTGCATTATCCCTTTTGTATCGTACGTAGGATCTCGCTTATTATTTTTATACATAATATTATATGAGAGTGAGTGAGAAACAGAGATCATAATGTGACCCAGGTGTTTTTATTGTTATTATATTTTATTTTAGATTTTTCACCCCGAATATTATTGTTTTTCTCGTTTTCCGCTGTATTGTATTATATATAGGTATATAATATTATAATGGGCTTCAGACCCGCGGCGGCTGCAGTGTAGGTAGGGTTCTATGCGTTAATGTAGTACGCGTGTTATGTGTATGCCATTCATCCGTCGAATGAGAAAACAATAATAAAATACATAAAACCCCAAACAAAACAAAACTACCAAATGTGACCCGATGGAGTACTATGATTATAATGATTTTTTTTGTCTATGTCGTATAGGTGTGGTGATTTTGAACACGAACGTTGACGGTGATCATCGTAGTGGCGCGTTATCTCCCGATAACATCCAAGTGATCGGAACCGCATCAGGTAATATTCTAATATATACGCATCGTATCTTAAATTGCTGTTTATATCATTACTGTCTTAGTTTCCTTTTTCATCGTCGATCATCATTTATCACAATCGTCGTACCGCCTTTGTAATTTAAGTAGTCACTCGCATACAAAGGGTGGACGTTTGGTTTAAACTTTGGAGTGGTAGGGAGTGTAGTATTATTCAAAGTTAAATTATGAACTTATTAATATAATGTTCATCTCAGAACACAAAATGTAATCAACATTTAATTGGGGGAAAAATCGAAATAGTGGTGCTTAGATTATTATAATGCTTTGTCTTAACTGGTGTGTCAAATGCAACAACACTTACGGATTTTTGAAAACAAACAATTTACAATGAAAAAATGCACCACTGACTTTTACTAGGGTATAGATAGCGTTTGATCAACCATTATTAAATTTGAAGATGAGGGGAATATTGCCTAAAAAATATCATATTCTTTTTATAAAATATAGTAATAAGGAAGTAACAATATTTTATGTGCTCTTTTATTACATTATATTACTTTGTACGGTTAATATATTATAACTTCTTAATTGAATATATTTTACAGGTATAATAATATATTAACCTCGAAAATATTCTCTTCTATTCAAATTTGTAACTGGAAAGATTAGGCGTAACTGTAATATTAACCTAGATGTCATTATTTTGATTCTTGATTTTGATTAGTATGACCCGATGACGATATCTTAGATACACGGATAGGTATATACTATATAGTGTCATGAATCTCGTTAAAGATCTCGTCCTTTTAATAATGGACTAGTAAATTATAAATATAATTTATAAGCAAAAAATATAATATTATATAAAATCGATGACTGGGAAATTCAATTTTTTGAGGTATCGAACCCCTCTTGTTCCCACACTTGTCAATCAACGATATCCGCCTTCACACTTGCAACTTCCTCGTTACGTCGCTCTTTCTGCTATCATTATAATGATACAATGGTGATTTTATGTGTAAATACGTAGTAACACTAATATTCATTATTATTGTCAAAACATAATACATTTATTATGAATAAAAATGATTTTATAGTATTTTGGTATTAAGTGTGTAGAAATTATATTACTTTTCATATACCTATTAACGGAAAAAAAGTGGGATGTTATGTTTGTGCAAAATGTTTTCGCCCTCTCTTTTATCAGAACTTTTCAAGAACCGCCTCTGTAATAATATAATAAATGTCATATCGTTGCCGTCTTGATATTAAAAAGACGGGCAGACAGATGCGCTTAGCGTGTCTCCGCTGTCTGGGTAGATAAACTATATTATGTCTATATGTTGTAACATATTATAGCATCGCGTGTTCGATCGGTTGCGTTTTTCTTTTAAACGTAACGTATAAAATTTTTTCAGAAAATTTGTTTTGTCTCGTGCTCTTTGCCGAGCTAATTATGAGGCGTTCATTGTAATATTAAAATAAATTATAATGTAATAACTCGATATTATGGACACATTTGAATTCGTTATAATGCAACGGCTGTCGTGTAAAGATGTCCGTCATTACTGAATGTGTACACGGTGTCTGTAAATAAAAGGACTCTAGTGCAGCTGCAGCTGTTAACGATAATTTTATTATTATAACATTGTACATAACCCAAATTATTATTATTGTATAATGGTTAAAGTTGTTTTCGTGTTGTTTTATTTTATTTATGTTAATAACTATCTAACTAGTATTGTATTTTTTTGATTTTACACTTCAAAATTATATGAAATTATATCGGATATAGCTTGTTGTAATTCGTTCATGTACAGTTTTTGATTTATAATTAACTTTTTTTATTAATTTTCCAGTTCACTATTTCTACAACTTGAGATTAAAATATAAAATACAAGAGTTGCTTAGTTCTACTATTATGTACTTCATTCAGTATTCTCATATGATAAGTAAATAAACATGCAGGTACACTAAATACTTGAATGAATTAAAGATTTCAATACTAAGAGCAATTTATTGAGATAGACGTGTAAATTGTTATTTTAAATATTTTGTGTCAAAGAGAATAAGAATTGATGTTTTTAAATTCAAATTGAATGTTTTAGTTTCTGCCCTTAATGCACTCATATAAAATAAATACACACTTATTATGAATATTTAATTATGATGTTGATTCATGAAAATCGTTTATTATTTGTTGATGAATATATAACAATACCAAGTAAAATTTCTTGCCTGTATAATTAAATTAAAATTAAAAGATTATATTACCGTCGGGTGATATCACTGATATTAGATAATATCTAGTCTATAGTTAAATCCTGTTTTTAACCAACAATTTTTATTTTGCCTTACCAATGTACGTAAATAATAAACGTACTGACCGCTTATAGGCCGTTTATTTGATAACTACTAATGTATTTTATTTTGTACAATTACTAATTGGTTAAAGGATTTAATATCATAGTAGATTAATACATATTGCATGAATCTACAAAGCAACAAAGCTGTTATCATTGAGGAAAGAAAAAAAAAATAAGGTTGTTTGAAATGAATTTAAGTTTGAATCAATTTACTAAGGTATATTAATACTGGGTTTAGACCAGCAGATCTTAATAGATAAATTTATGATCTGTTCCTCTTTGTTCTGTAAAAATATGTTTAATAGACAGTAGAACTATTATTGGCACAGTAATTTATTTGTGATAATATCCGTTTGTGTCTTTGATGTTTTTTTAATCTTTTTAGTAAGAATATTAATCTTTTTTCGAGATTTTATTACCAACTCTCATTGTGTGTCATATAATTAAGTATTTATTATAGTTGCAATAATTATTAAGTAGATTCAAATTTATTTATCTTACTTATCATTGAAATCAATATAATAAATAGTTATTATTTAAACCGTTATTGTTTTTTTTTTACATACACAATTAAACAAAACCATAATACTTCTCAGTGTTAAATTTTGATTGATATTATTCATAATTATTTCTTGTCATCAATAAATAAACTACAAATAGTAAGTAGGTGTATTAAAAAATAAATAAAAGGGGTGTTTGAAATAAACTTACACTGTACTGTGTATTGTACTTATTCTATTTTATACGTTAGGGTTACGATTTGGTTATTATGTTTAATAATATGCGTGGTAAAATTTTGATTTATGACACATAACGAAAACTAGGAAGTTGATGTTAGCGCATTTAAATAATTGCTTACAAAGCGATTAGATTATATTTTTAAGTTAAAGATTTTAAACTAAATTACGCATGTTATTATTTATATAACTCCTTATAGTGAATACATATTTCATAACACCATTTAGTGACATATGACAAGATATTTTATCATCTTTTTTTTTTTTTTTTTGTAAAATTATTTCGGGAGTCGGCATAAATGCTTCTTTGTAAAAAAAAAAAACTAAAATAAATTATCATGACATGTTAAAATAATATTATTTAGATAGTGAATGAAACGTTGTATGAATGTATTTAATTTTACAATGATTTGTGTTTTTTGATTTAGTTTGGGTGGGAGGTCAAAAGTAAAAAAATATCAGTATTTTTTAAAATAATCAGGGAAAACTAAAAAAAAACGTGAATACAATTTACGCGATTCCAAAGATGATTTTTTCATTTAAAATGTAAAACCAAAAAAATTTACCATGTACACATTTTTGTATAGCAATTTAAACATTTTGAAAACATTTATTTATTTTTTATTATTCCTTAAGCAAAGTTGGTACATATAGGCACAAATTTTTATAATCGCTAGAAGTTCAAGTTTTTGTCAAAAACATTAGTCTTTCATAACTACTTGTTAATTATTTAATAAAAATTGAACTTATTTACTAGTACTACGTTATTATTAACATCGTTCGTCTACACATTGCAATGGTATTTTCTCAAAAGATTGTTATAATAATATATAATTATTATATATTAATTAATAATATATTTGCTATTTTTGGAAAAACTTGGTTTAACACATTATGTTTCCAGTAGAAAAATATACTACTAATAGTAGGTAATACGTATTATAAATAAATTTTAACATCTTAAAAATAAACTTTGACTCCACTGTCTTCGCTCAAAATTATTTTTCGTACGTAATAATATTTATTGATTGAATTGAAATATTTAATACTTTCATTTTAATTATATACCTACTCCGACTAATGGTAGGTTTCTAGGAATATTGATGATTTAAGCCCTTAAAATTTTTATTAGTTTTTATTTATTAATTTACCATCAAAGAAAATAAAGCCTTTGATTGGGAAATAGATTATATTGACCTATTACAATACTCATTTGTTACAGCCAATTAATCTGTGATTCATTACTTTTCATTGTTGCAAGCGTATAATGTAGTTAACACATTTTATGATAAATCAAAACAAACATTTTTTTTTCTGATTAATTTGTTTACTGCAGCACTTATGGTCTTTTAAAAATAAATATATATACGTAATAATTCGAAATTTGTAGTCGAATGTTTATTCATTGATAAAAATTTATGTTTAAAGGTTTAGACGACGGAGGACTAATGATCGACGAAGTAGCCGAATTAAGATCGCAATTGGAACGAGAGCAAAATCTACGTGTCGAGTTAGAAGAGCAAGTGAAAGTATATTCAGCCCGTTTAGGCGAAGTGTTTGTTGACCAAAAACCTAATATAGAAAATACACAGACTACGATCCAGTACCACCATAATACAAACACAGTAAGGGGATAAAACAATTTTGGACTTTAAGTTCTTATCTCTTGTGAAATTCATCACTTTAAAACAATTTTTTTTTTTTTATATTCTAGTGTGTGGTCGGAGAAGAAGCTGGTATGGAAATTATTGAAGTGAACGAGTCTGACAATCTGGTAGTCCAGCGAGAGCCAGAGGAAGACAGTGTACTTATTAAGACTGAGGCCGCTGACGCACCTGAAGATGATCGATTGAAAGCAGTCGAAGAGGAGCCAGTTTCACAGCAACAGCAAGTACTACCATCCGCGCGTGTTTACCTCACTAGTACCTCCAGACAAAATTTGGAGACCATTGTCGAAGCAATCAGACACCTAGAGGGTGACCACCTGTTTAGTGATGATCATCAGGAAGCACCCCTTGCTTTAACTAAACATGCAGCGACTAGCAATCAGAAATTGCTAAAGGTAAGTTTCATTTGGAAAAATCCTTTAAATTTGAATTCCTGTACTAAACTACCATAAATTTATTTTTATAGGTGGAAATGAACCCTTTCCTCCAGTTCCACAGTGGTTCTCAGACTCCTCAGGGTACAACGGTGGTAACATCAAACAGTCCTGTACGACCGTCCAGACCTGGTGTTATTGTTGGCAAACAAGCTTCGTGACTTCATTAAAAAGGAGGTTGTATAGTTAATGTTACCACCAACCACCTGTTCTTTCTTCAATATTTTCTTAAGATAGTCTGAAATACTATCTTGTAAAGAAAATTTAATCTGTTTCAGATTTCTTAACAATTTCCCAATATATGTTATATAATATTATACTCAGTTGAAAATAACTTATGTTTTACATATTTATTAAATTTATGTTTTTTAACATTTTACTATTGTAAATACTAATTAGAATATTTACAAACATATTAGTTCTCATGATGCCACAAGTGAATACTGTTTAAACAATAATATTTTGAGCTTCTTATTAATACATAAAATGTGATTGATTACAAATTACAATGTCTTAATATAAATTATATGACAAAATAATAGGAATTATCTATTAATATGTTTGATTATTTACTTCATTATGTTCAATATTTAAAGATTTTGACTACCAATTGTGTTTCCATAAGTCATTTTTCTTTTACTTTTAATCAATATTTGTATAATTTTGCATACGTTTTTTATATATATATATATTATGTATAATATATTAAGACTTTTTGTTAAACATTGTTTTATAAATTTTCATTTCGCAATATATTGTTATATTTAACATTTTTACTCAACTATTTGCAATATAAAAGTATACGCAGTAATAGCAATAGAAGTCCTTACATTTTTTTTATTTACTATTGTTATTTAAATATTATTAATACTTAAACGTAATGTATAGGATAAAATATTTATTTTTAAATTCATTAATTTTTATTATTATTATTATTATTTTTTTTTTTTAGAATATAGTTCTCTTGTTATATTTGTCTTTTAAAATCATAAAATGCCCTTTTTTATTTGTATACAAAAAAATCGGTGCTATTGATTTTGGGTTTTTGTTTATGTAATTTGTTTGATGTATTATTCAAATTAACTCACTTTACATGGATTGGTTGATAATGTTGCTTGTGTGGTGTACTTGTTTCCTGGTGATCACAACGTATGATATGTTCCTTGGTCTTCTTATATTTTGAATGTAGGTAATGAAATTATCAATAGGCCAGTTATTAAACACTTAGCAAAATTTAATATTGTTTTTCTTATTATGAATATATTCATTTTCGTTATAATATTCATGTCCAGTATTTTTGCTTTGTTATACTAAACAAAAAGTTATAAAAAAAGGAAAAAAAATAATAATAATAAAAATAATTAGTGTATTTATTGTATTTATATACACATTCAAATATTTAATTATATAAATTTAAAAATAAAACAAGGAAAATAATTGTTGTTTTCATATTTAGCATATTACTATTAACTAAACATAATTAATTGTATTATTATTATAATTACTTAGGTATTATTTTGTATAAAAGGAAGAGATTTGGAGTGAAAAATGTAATTAAGTAAATGTTGTACGCCATTATCATAATCATTTTATTAACATTAAGATTTTTGGGAATTGGAGACTGATAAAATCAATTCTTTTTGAGTTTAGAAACTCATTTTAAGCAAAATTAAATAAAATAATTCCTATATTGAAAAATTGACATTTAATAAATTTTAGTGTGTGCTCTGTTAAGTTACAAATTACTTAACTATAGAAAATTTGAATGTTTAAACAAATTAGTAAAAGTAAATTTCATCAATTATTTACTTTTAAGAATAGACAATTAAAACATTTGCCAGAAAATATTAAAATGTTCCCTTTTTGTTTGTCATTTTTCTTAAGTGTTTAGGACAACATTTTTACTATAATCTGTTTGTACATGTTTGATTAAATTAATATTTTTCTTTTTCATTACGTTTAAGATTTATATTGTTGGTTTTTATGTTTTTCTTTTTCATATATTTTTTTTTTTTTTATTATTATAGCTTACACAAAATCTTTACTGAAAATATCTTAATTATATTATATACATTATAAATATAATTATTGCATTTTATACAGCTATACATAATATATATAAATAATTGTGTATAATTCTATATATAATTCTGTACATTATTTTTATGGACTTAAATTATTATTATACAAATATTATTTATTTGCTTTTAGATTAATTGTTGTCCCATTGTTTGCATTTTTTCCGCACGAAGACGATAGTTTACTGCTCAGGTCCCTGGCACGCATTCTTTCGACATAGCGATTGTGAATGCGTTTCATTTCTAATATCTCCTTCATTTGCTCCTTGTCTTCATCCTATGTACATTAAATTTTTAATAAAATAAAATAAAATAAAAATCTTAAAATATTGCCTGTGAGAAAAAAAATTGAATAATATTTTTGATGAATTGTACGTTGATATATTATGTTGGCCAATACTTTTGATCCATTACTAATAAGATACTATTGTTCTACTATTAGTATTTTTTATTCATTTGAGAATCTCTTGTAAATCATATATTGTAGTAATCTATGTGTTTGTGCGGACAACTGAAAAATTCAATTTCTGTATATTTATCATATTGTTTATGTAATTGTGTTTATACTCTTTACTGTGTTTTGTACTCTTATTTTATTATTATTATTATTATGATTATGTGCGATTATTATTATTATTATTATTATTATTATTATTATTTTTTTGTTTGTTTTATTTTTCGATCTCGTGACTGTAACAATACAGTTAAAAATATTTAATAATTTTCATCTTTTTATTTATTTTGTATTTTTTTATACACATCTTATGTTTGTCATGCATTTGTTTAATATAAACAAGTGTTTGATATCCAACTGAATTATTGTGTATAATGTGCGTATACTACCTATATAAACCTGCATAATTATGCACACTATTGGCATCAAGAAGTATAACCTCTTTAGGTCCTACAAATTTATGTACAAAAATAAGTCGAACAAGTGATATGTATGCGTATACAATATGATAGTTAAAATTTTATAATTAGAAAAATAACTGGAGATTCTTGATTCCATTTTAACAAAAAATAAACCCTATTTCCTGATTTATTCGCATTTGTTTTAATGTTTGTGTTTATTTACTTATATAGTGAAGTTTAGATTAGGAAATTCACAAAAATACACAATTTGAACAGTCAACATCAGCTTGTATAATACGTTAATAAAGACATAAAGTTGATTGTTTGGATATAATCCGCACATACACATAAACTGAAATCTGATTATGGTAACATAAACTATCCAAATTACTTATGTTTTAAATATTTATACCTCGTTTTAGTGTTTAGGCAACAAAGTATTGTGTTTTTTTTAAGGTTTAGTTCGGTAATACTATGTAAACTAGTTCAGACCTTGGAAAGTTAGTTTTAAATGTAAACTCAATTTTTTTTTCTGAATGATTTTTTTTTTTTTTGTTAAAGTTCCATTAGTTAGTAATTAATACAATTATCTAGACTATTGTTGGCATAATCAGTCAATATAAGAAATAAACGCCGACTTAAAAGCACCTATCGGTAATCTGTATACTAAATACTGATGTTACCAATAATTTATTTTATTACCCACTTAATATCGTGATTTAGTTGAATCGATGATGATGTGTATTGTTGGTGGTTGTCTAAGAAAATAAGAACTAAATATAGAAATGAAATTAATTTAAATCTATCAACATTATTAATCATAAAATTGATTAAATATTTATTTTAACCGGTTCGACTCAGACGTTTAGTATATTACTAAAATGAAGACGTCAAATATAATTATTACTATGTAGGTATTAAATAGGCACCCAATACAATTTCATATTTCAGTTAATTTGTTTTATTTATGTAGATAATTTCCGAAAAAGACAAATATTCTTGAAAACAAGAGTAAATAAACAAGTAAATTGTATCTAATATAATTTTTTTGTAGGAAGAGAGGAATTACTTCAGCGGGATAATCTTTTCTAATTTCCTGTGATCAGTGATTACCAATTATTCATTTGATGTATATAATATGTTATATACTTAATAGTTAATCAGTTTTATGTAGGTAGAAGTATTTTACTTTCACAGGAATTTGCTTACCGTCTGATTGAGTCGTAACACCAACGCCCTTCGGCTATCTGACATCGGTTGCGAGTAGTACATAAGCTTTTTGAGCCTTTGCGATGGGCTGACGCCTCTTTCTACCACCAGTACAATCCGAGCCCACTGAAAATATTGCCACAATGCAAGATTAAATTATTATTTTTAATAAGACAAATGTGGATACAATAATGCACCGAACTCGGCTTAGTTCATTATGTTATGATGTGCGTTGTAATGTTTAAAATATTTTAAAAATATTACATGAAATCGGTGTTGATGGATTATTAGCCACCATTAGGTCGATGAAGTATCTATGAAATAATTTAGCACAGTTAAAAATGCTTTGTATGTATTTTTTTTCAATATTTCAACATGATAAATATTAATGTGTAAAATAGATTATATTGGTACATAGTATAGTATCTATTTCTGATCTATTCAATTAGAAAACTGAATGAGTCAAAACATTGAACCGTGATGTATTGCATTTTAAAATAAACAAAATATTCATATATGTACACTTTACAATGTTAATAAATTAATCATTTATCGATCAATTTAGCAAATAAATTAATTAGTGTTAATTATCTAATTAGCCAATTGGTTAAATTGCTAATGTTAATATTTACTACTTAATTTTTTGAACAATTAATTAATAGCCATCTAATGGCTAATATCTAATAAACATGAAATCTATTTATAATATTAATAAAATTAGCAAAAATTTTCTGTGAAATCAAATGTTATATCAAAATCATAATTTATTAGATTTTGAGCGAAGCAATAAATATGAATATTGATTTTTTTTTACAATAATATGTGTGTATTTTTTTTTACGTCTCGCACATGTTTTAGGTCAGTAAAAATGCTTCAATCTTCAAAAATGGGATTTGTTTCTGGTAACAAATATCTAGTTGATACATTAGAAGGTCAAAAGTAAACAATTATTAGTTAATTTTTATATAATCGTGAAAAAAAAAAAAAAATTAAGGAAAAACAGGAATTCTTAAGCAAATTCAATTTATGAAAAAATCGATTTTATTGCTATACGACAGAACGGTACCGCTTGCCTACTTTCCAATTTACTCTCAAAAACCAATTCTATTTTTAAAAATTTAAGCATTTTATTTACTGTCCCAAAATGTGATGGTAGCCAGAAAAAAACACACATCATAATAAAATTAATACATCAGCTTCTGCTTAGAATCCAAGATACTAATAAAAAAAAGATTTTTATTTAATAATAAAATTTATCCAATATCAAAGTAGACTGGCAATTTTCAATTTAATATGCATTTGAATAGTAAAAATAAATAATGTTA